AAAAAACATTTATTAAGTACTTATTATGTACCAAGTTCTGATTGGCATAGGAACAAAGTGTAGGGGATATGAAAAAAAAAAGTCAATCTCTGCCCTCAAGGAACTTACATTGTAATGGTGGAGACAAGTTAAAAAAAAAACTCTGTGCATATATGATATATTCAGTGTAAATAGTAGGCAACTTTAAACATGTTGGGTTGGGGGAGGGGACCGAGAAAGATCTCCCACAGGAAGTAAGTAGCCCTTGATCTCAGCCTCAAAGCAAATCATTAAATAAATCAGTAAATGTTCATTAAGCACCTATTATGTACTGGGCACTGTGCTAAACTCAGGGATCACAAAGAAAGGCAAAAAAATAGTCCCTGCTTTGTCAAGAAGCTGGAAATCTAAAAGGGAAGACAACATGCAAACAAGATATGGATGGAATAAATTGGAGATGATCAGTAGAGGGAAGACAGTAACATTAAAGGAGATTAGACAAGATTTCTTACAGAAGGTGGGATTTTGGTCAAGACTGGACGGAAGCCAGGAGGAGAGGATGAGGAGGAAGAGAGCTCCCGGCCTGATGGACAGCCCCAGGGCATGCCCAGAATCACGAGATGGATTATCTTATGGCTGGAAGAAGCAAGGAGGCCAGCGTCACTGGAACACAGAGTACGTGGGGATGAGTAAGATAGGAAAAAGCCAGGTTATGAAGGATTTTAAAAGCCAAACAGAGGGTTTTATATTTGATCATGGAGACAATACTGGAGTTTATTGAATGGCAGGGGCCAGGTTGATATGGTTAGATTGTTGTTTGTTCTTCATTCTCAAAGAGGACCAATGAATTCAGGGGGTTGATGTCTTGACTTGAACGTGAACTGGATTTAAATGAGGCAGAGCCATGCAAAGTCATCAGCCTCCTCTTCTCCAGGGTCATTGGAGCTCAATGGCAAGACATGGTTAGATCTGTGCTTTAGAAAGATCCCTTTGATAACCGAGTAAATTGAAAAGGGGGATGACTTGTGCTAGGGAGATCAATCCAAAGCTACTATAATACTTCAGGCATGAGGTGATAAGGGCCTGAACCAAGGCAGTGGTGGTGTCAGAGGAGAGAAAGGGGTTTATATGAAAGATGCTGCTAAGGTAGCATGAACAGCCAAGGCTTCTAAGAAGTGTAGGTGAAGAGAGAGAGCCTTCTAGGCATGGGAGACAACTGTCACAAAGTCGTAGATACAGATGAAGCATCTAGGGTGAGGAATAAATGTAAACTCATGCTTAGGTTTCAAGAATCAGCTTCGCCATTCCAAGATGAGGGAGGAATAGTTAGATAGCAGTTGTTTTGAAAACAATCTGGTGGTCCTGGTACACTGTAAGCTTAATGAATCAGCAGTGTGAGGTGGCAGTCCCAAACAACTAATGCTATCTCAGGCTACATTAGGAGAGGCTTAGCTCCCAGGAATCAGGAGGTGACGCTCTTGTCATACCCTACCCCTGTCATCTGGAATATTGTGTTCAGTTCTGGGTGACAAAGTTTGAGAATGACATTGATAAACTGGAGAATGTCCAGAAGAGTGGGGAAGGGCCTTGAATCCATGTCACATAAGGATCAGTTGAAGAAACGGAGTGTGTTTAGCCTGAAGAAGAGAAGATTAAATAGGGAATATATGTTAAAATGTTTGAAAGGCTGTCATATAAAGGAGTGATTTTATTTGTTCTATTTGGCCTTGAAAAGCAGAACGAGGGAACAATGTGGAAATTGCAGAGACCAATTTTGGGTAGACATCAAGAAAAATGTCCAAAATGGAATGAGCTACCTTGAAATAAAGGCATAGAATGGGCCTGTGACTTTCGCAGAATCACCCAACTACTCAGTATTTGAATCAGAGTTTGAACCCAGGTTTTCTTGACTTCAGGTCCGATGGTCCATCCACTGCGACATTTAACTCCCTCTGGGTCCCATTGGAAGGCTCCTGAGTGCCCCTTGAACTTGCAAATTCTGAATTTCTGTTGTTTTACAGAGCAATAAATTATTGACAGTCATGATGATAGAAAGTAACAGAGCTGGGATGTGAACCCAGAGCCTTCTGCTCTGAACCCTGTGCTTTCTCCACCTCACCCCAACTAGTGATACATCACGTACAGTATATGTCACCTCACCCATGAAACCTTCCCTGATCTCAGGAAGAAGAGCCACTTCATCTAATCTGATAGAGTTTCACAATGAATTCTCTTTTACATATATTTTGTTCTCATCTGTGTACTTCCACCAAGGTCTTCCTCCAATATTGCTCAGCATGGTGTGAAGGTGATCAGAGAACACATGCTTTCATAAGTTCTGCAGAGCTGATCAGGTTTCAAGTGCAAGCCCAGGACTTTGTGTTTGACTGTCTGAAGGCTAACCTAATTAAATGCTGAAAAGGCCTCATCAAGAGATAAATCCCTACTAGGGGATGATTTTGTTTTATTTTTGGACCACAGCAACTCATGAAGACTAGAGGCATTGGAATCTGCTCAGTAAAAAAAAATAAGCACATTTATGAAATCAGAATTCTTTAAGTAGAGAAACTAGTAATATGGATGCATCGGTGTCTTATCTAAACTTCTTGAGGACAGGAAGGATATCTTTTATCATTGTGTATATTATACCAGAACCTACCATTGCACATAGTAGGTATTTGTTGTTTTTTCTTCATTCTCAAAGAGGACCAATGACATCAGGAAGGTGATGTCTTGACTTGCAAATGAATTGGATTTAAGTGAAGCAGAGCTGTGCAAAATCACCAGCTTCACTCTCTCCTCCAGAGCCACCTGGGTCAAGTGGCAAGATATAGATCAGGATAACTGCAGATGGCCCCAGATGGAGTGGGGGACCTTGGCCTTTTTAAACTAAGGTCTTTCCCAGGTCTCAGTTTGTCTGAGGCAACACTCTTTCAGGGATTAAGGCTAGGTAAGAAATGAGGCCAAAAATGACTTCTTTTATCTATTTAAAAAAAAATCAATCTGGGAGGGGAAGACCATCAGGGTTTCTGGCAGAACAGAAACAATTACTATTTATACTCACTCTGAGCCATCAAACCCCCGAACAAAGACCAATCAAGGCTTGGGCTGGTCCTTATTATTATTATTATCAGTGAGAGTCAGAGTGATTTGGTTTTAGGGCATACTCAAGTAGCTCTATTTGAATCCCAATGGGCCTTAGCAAAGCCCAGATTTCCAGAACTCTATTTCAAGAAATCCACTTTCCTGTAAGCAGTAAGTATTTAATAAATGTTGAATGAATAACTGAATTAAAAGTAAGTCTCGCCTATAAGGTCTGGCCTCCAAAATAGCCATCTAATTAAGTTCCTGTTGGAATTTAGCATTCATTTGTGCAAGGAACTGAGTCAAATCCCTACATGATGTTGATGTAGGTGGGCCTATGAAAAGGCAAGCTCTCCAACAGATGTCTGATCACAGCGAAATAATAGACTCGAATGTCTCCAATTGAGTTGTCAAATTGGTAATGTCATCACTGTGTGGTGTAGAATAAGTAAGTTATGAGCCAGAGTTGGGGGTGGTTAAGGGTGGAAACTAGTATCTAACTTTCTTTCACATAGTCAAAAAAGTTAGAGGCTAGAATGAAGGCCCAGGAGTAGGGCTGGTCACAAGTCTGGCTAGTATAGGCTAGTTGTGATTGGGAAGGCTGGTCCCAGACAATTTAGTCTACTATCTCATTTTCTCTCCTAAAAGCTCTTGCCGTGATTTATTGGATGTTAAATTTCTGACTAGAAGAGATCTTTGAACAGGGGTTCTCAATCTTTTTTTTGTTGTAGAACCCTTCAGCAAACTGCTAAAGCCTATGGCCCCCTTCTCAGAACATTGTTTTTAAATGCATTAAATAAAATACATATGATTAAAAAAAGAAAGAAAGAAACCAATTAAATGGAAATAAAATTATCAAAATATATTTTTTTAAATGCCAAGCTCACAAACCCCATGTTAAGAGGTAATCCAACTCTCTTCTTCTGATGTAGACGTGGAAATTGAAGCACGTTCCCACCAACTGCCATTTTTTTCAAATATCTGCAAGTTTGAGTACCCCTGGCCATTGAACATGAGAGAGTTTAAGTAACATTCATAGCGTAACATAAGCAGTGAGTCGCAGAGCTGGGATTCTAATTTTATTGTAGTTTTGCAGTCCAGACCTTACAGGTGAGATTTGCTTATAATTCAGTCATTCATTCAACATAGAGGTTCTAATTTCAAATGCAGCATTCTTTCAACAGTGTAAGGGCAGTGGAATTTGAATCTAGGTCCTCTGATTCAATGTTCTTTCCAGGGTATAAGCACAGCAGGATAGGTAGCTTTGGGGATTAAATCAGGACCACTCTCACTCAGATGTGAATTAATCCTGTGGGGTATGTAGTAATTAAAGAATATATATGAAGGATCTATTACTCCCAAGACTGTCCCAGACACTTTCTGAAATTCTCCATTTCTCTTTATCATTTCAATTAAAATTCTACCAATTATATTCTTTTGGGTTAAGCAGATGTCAGGGCAGTTTAAAAGGGGTAAGGGGGGGAAGGGGGAGGTGAGGAGGAGGGCTAACAGTCATTCACAATTCAGTGTGAATAAAGTAAATTTGATTGCTTTCCTCCAAACTCCTAAGTGGGATGCTCTGAGGGTATGAATTAAGAGTTCTGATGGGTAGGATAGGAAAGAAGGCATTTTTTTTTAATTTTTAGCATGGGGCATTGCTAGTGGTGAGCAGGGCTGACTAAGGTGTCAGAATAGGGGCTTTGGGTTGCTAGAGCCCATCCTTCAGGTGCTGGTTACCTTTAAGATGGGAAAGAGTATTGGTAAGGCAGTATTAAGTGCCAGGATATGTTCAAAGAAGAGCCTTGGGTTAAAACTGTTCCAGTGTGTGTGTGTGTGTGAGTGTGTCTGTCTGTCTGCTTGTCTGTCTATCTGTGTCTGTCTGTCTTTCAGGTCCCTTCTCTTATGCTCCATTCTTGTTTCTCTTGTTTATCCCCCAGCCCCTGATGCTCCTTACACCCACTGGAAGCAGACAGTTTTCTACTTAGAAGATTATCTCACTGTCAGGAGGGGCGAGGAGATCTACGGGACCATTTCCATGAAACCAAATGCAAAAAATGTGGTGAGTGCAGGGCGGGGAACTTACAAGAGAGGCTCTCTGGTCTGGAGGTTGAGGAAAAGATGGAAGGCTTCAAAAGCTCCTTCAACAAAGATCCCCATGCTAGGCTTCATTGCAGAGAGTAAATCACCAGCAGGAGTTTTTAAGTACCTAGAGAACAATCAAAAGAATCCACAAGAAATTCCCCTTGAATATAGCCATTGGAAGTAAAGCAATAGGTTTGGGCACTTTCACCATTTAGAATAAGGACCTTTCTGGTACTTTCCTCTAGCCTTCCTTTCTGTGTCTGGTGTCTAGAAAACAGTTTTATTGTTCAATCATGTCTGACTTTTCAGGATCCCATGTGGGGTTTTCTTGGCAAAGACACTGGAGTGGTTTGCCATTTCATTCTCCAGCTCATTTTATAGATGAGGAAGCTGAGGCAAACAGTGTTAAGTGATTTGCCCAGAGTCACACAGTTAGTAAGTGTCTGAGGTCACATTCAAACTCAGGTCTTCCTGACTCCAGACCCAGTGCTCTATCTGCTGTGCCACCTAACAGCCCTCTGAAAAGACCACTGTCATTCAATCATTCATCCCTTCAACAAACATTAAGAGCTTATGGTTTGCAGAGCACAGTGTTAAAACGATGTAGAAAGAAGAAGGGTTTAGACTAGACCCCTTCAGTCTTTTGGCCTTATGGAATTTAGAGATTGGTAGCAAAATCAGACATTATTACGTGTAATTGTGATATATAGCATTATGTGATAAGTGGGAGGCATGAGATAAAATGCAGCATTAAGTCCTAGAGAGAATGAGCCTTTTTCCTGAGGGGATCAGGGGAGATTTCATGAAGAAGGTGGCACTTGAGTTGGGCTTTTAAAAATTGGGTAAGAATCCATCAGGCAAAGATGGGGACAGAGAGCATTTCCGGCAGTCAGTCAATAAACATTTACAGGCACTGGGTAGGATACAAAGAAAGGCGAAAGTGGTAATTGCTCACAAGTCCAATACAATAAAGGATAAATTAGAGGTATTTAACAGAAGGAAGGCATGCACCTTAAGGAGGATCAGGAAAGGCTTCTTGTAGAAGCTGAGATTTTAGCTAAGACTTGAAGGAAGTCAAGAGGCAGAGATGAGGAGGGAGAATATTCCAGGCATGGGGAACAACCAGTGAAAATGCCTGGAGTCTAGAGATGGAGTGTCTTGTGGGAGGAACAGCAAGGAGGCCAGTGTCATTGGATCATAGAATACATGGGATAAGTAATGTGTAGGAAGACTGGAAAGGTAGTTGGGGGCGAGGGGGAGGTTTATGAAGGTCTTTGAATGCCAAGCAAAGAATTTTTTACTTAATCTTGGAGGTGTTAGGAAGCCATTGGAGTTTATTGAAAGGGTGTGTGTGTGTGTGTGTGTGTGTGTGTGTGTGTGTGAGACACAGTCAGACCTGTGCTTAAGGAAGATCACTCTGACAGCTGAGAGAAGGATAGTCTGGAATGGGGAGATACTTGAGGCAGGGAAACTAACTAGCAGGCCAGTGCAATAATAGTCCTGGCATAAGGTGATAAGGGCCAGCACCAAGATGGTGATAGTGTCAGAGAGAAGGGATTGTATTAAAGAGTTGTTGCAAAGGTGACATTGAAGCCGAGACAAATGAAAAACTGGAGAGACAGAGTTTCTGGGTAATTAATAATCAATTTATTAATTGGACTAGCTGATAATCAATACATTGATGGTCAGTGGTCTCTCTTGGTAACCAAAGACACCTAATAGAGATACCAAGTGCTTTAATATATTTTTAGAAAAGAGGGTGCCCCTGACAGGTGAAAAATCAACCCCAATTTGTGAACAATTAATAAGGTGTGGGCTTTCAAATGAGGAGGTAGGTTCCTTCTGCTAAGAACATGGATTGATCATGAAACTCAGTTGCCTCCAGCAATCTGGGCAAAGGAATCCATCTGTATCCAGACCACTGTGGTTGGTTTTCTCCTTCATGAGGTGGGTTACCCTAAACTCTGACTGAGGGGTTGCAAGGACATGGGCTTAATGCTTTAGGGCTAGAATTTATCTAGAATAGATTCTATTTACACTCTAAACAGAGGTAAGGTCTTCTAGTTGAGTGGGATCCTGCCCAAGATCAGAGCATGTTCTGGGAGGATTTGGGCAATCTCATCTATTAGCATTGTCCTTCAGAGATTGACTGATTTACAGGGGCAGGTCTCTAAATAAGGAAGTAGAGGAGAAAAAGCCTAATTTAATAATTGGTTATTAATGTAACAGAAATATAATTTCTCTCAAAGCTAAACTCAACAGGACTTGGCAACAGATTGGACAAGAAGGGGTGAGAGCACGAATGAGATATTTGGGAATATACACAGGTTATGATCCTGGGTGACTGGGAGAATTGTAGTACCCTCGGTAGTACAGAGGCTTAGAAGAGGAGAGGGTCTGGGGGAAGAAAATAATGAGGTCAGTTTTGGATGTGTTGAGTTTTGGATTTCTGCAAAATATCCAGTTCAAGATGTCCAATAGGCAGCTGAAGATATGCAACTAGAGGTCAGGAGAGAGGTTAGGTCTGGATTTCAGATTTCAGAATCATCAGCATCGAGGTAGTAATTGAATTCACGGGAGCCAAGAAGATTACAGGCATGGCAAGAACCCCGAATAGAGGCTCAGAAGTGAGAGAGTTTAGGAAACAGGGATTAATCCAATATGGTCGGAGCGTAAAGTCTATAGAAAGAAGTCGTGATCAGATAAGATTTGATAAGTGGGTTAGGGCTAAATTGTAGAGGGCTTTGAATACCAGGAGAGAAGTTTGAACTTTACTCAGCAGGCAGTATGGAACCACTGACCTACCGCAGGAAATAACAGCCCCCAGGCTTATGATGCCTCCTATCTACAAAGTGTTTTCACTCATATGATCTTGTTTGTGTTTCACACATATGATCTTCAAAACAACCTTGTGACATAGGTTGGGAGTTATTATTCCCTTCATTTTGCAGATGAGGAAATGGATACTCAGAGAAGTTAGTGACTTGTCTAAGGTCAAAGAGCTAATAAGCATCTGAGTCCACATCATAGCCCAGCTGACTTACAGCTAAATCCAGGGCTTGATGCGCCAGGCCATACTATTTCCCAACAAAATTTGTATTTCAGCAGAGAAGATTTAGTTTAAAGACTCTGTAATAAACCTCCTGTGAGGATGGTAAGATGCAGGGCTAGGTTATTGGGCGTTTGCCATGTTTTCCTTTCCCTAGAAAGCCCGTAAGAATAAGAAAGCTAAGTACCTATCTGTGCAGAAGAGATTTGATGAATTCTGAAGGGCAGAAGGTGAATTGACCTTTCATCTCTCTCCCTCTCTCTCTCTCTCTCTCTCTTACTTGGTAGCGGGACCTTGATTTCACAGTGGACTTGGACTTTAAGGGACAGCTGTGTGAAACATCTGTATCTAATGACTACAAAATGCGTTAGCACATAACGGAATTTGCAGAAAGCAAAAAAAAAAAAGAAAAAAAAGAAAAAAAAGAAAAAAAAAAAAAGAAGCACTGTCTCATCTCGATCTGCTGCATTTGCCCACCAAGGAAAACTGTTTGCAGGATTACGAACGTGGACCTCAGTGTGTTATCTCGGCCCAGAAGTTTGGTCACCTCAAGAGGTTCCTGGCAAGCCTTACCCTAGGTTGGAGATTCAAAAGAACCCCCAGCTCAGCTCTGAGAGTCCAACCTAAAGGTCATATAGGCAAAGAGACACTGGTGCTCCAACAAAACCCCCCCGAGGATGGAAAAGGACACATGCATACCAGTTGTATTCTTTAACTGTGAATCTCTGGCTCTTCCAAGTTTTGCATGCTGCAGGCAATTAGGGCAGACTGTTTACATTAAAACGCAGAGACATAGTGTCTTTGATAGCTTAACCAAGATTTTCTGTCTATCTGTGGTGTGTGCGTGTGTGTGTGCAACATATATATTAATTTATATATCCACATATGCCTGTATATGCATGCATATACAATCAAGTGGGTATATCTAGACATTAATGCAGAGTGGTATGTAAGTATGTATATATGTGCATATATATACATATATATGTATTTATATATATCTCACTTGGAGGGGGTTCTGTTGCTTTTGAATAAGGAATTTGTTTTGTGGTTAGTTTCTCCCCTTAAGCAGATGTTAAGCAGCCAGTGAAAGTTATCTGTACCAGCACTGATTTTCCTTTAACCAGACCTGTCTCCTAGTGCCTAGCATAGTACCACATGTCTAGAGGGCACTGAATAAAAATGGATGAAAGTGAGATGGACTGAAGTAAAGTGCATCCTTTGTTCAAAATGTCTTGACCCTTAGGTTTTAGAGAAAGGACCCACCTAGATAACCTTGAGATTTAAAGAGCAATAGAAAATTAGCCGCTTCCTTTGTTCTAGAAGAGGACCAAAATGACATCACTATGTTGGGGTCAATTTACAGTGTGTCCAACTGTGGCTGATCAGATTAATTCGAGCTCAGAATGCTCTACCACAGGTCAGGCACAAATAGGCCATGTGAACATTTGGGGTGGATTCTCTAAATGGGAGCATCTTGCCTTTCTTGTGAGCCACTTCAGTTCTGTTCTGCTTATAGAGCACAGTGCCTTCTTTGATGATGGCATGCCATGCTGGGCGGTCCTGTGCCAGTGTCTCTCATGTCACGAAATAAGTTCCAAAGTTCTTCAGAGAGACCTTGAAAGCACCATGCCAGGAAGCTGCTTCATCTTATTAAAAGCAAAAGAACCCCAAACCCAAAAAAACAAAACACAAGAGCTTCTCGGTTGTGTGCACATTCACTTTCTGGAAACTTAAAGAAAACGCTCTGTGAGATCAGCTTCAAATGCATATCGGGTGTTAGTTTCCCAAAGAGGCACTTGAATTGACTTACTCATGAAGGAAGACCTTGAAAGAGGGCTTTGCTCCATATAACTCTACCCCATTAAAATGAGTTTTCCTTCCTTTTCTTACATCCTCTTTTCTTCCCCAACTGCCATGATTTTCCTGGAGATTTAAGCATCTGCCTCCCAAGTGTCAATTTGCCCATTTATCTGCAAGCCTGAGTACCTAATGTGTAGCAGGCACTGAATAAGTGGGGGAAAAAAGACCCAAATAAGTTGGAAGGTTTTTGGGGGATCATTTAGCCCAGTCCCACCATTTCTCCTATAAGGAAACTAAAGCTCAGAGAAAGGAAATGACTTGCCCAGGAAGTGGCAGAATGGGGATTCAAATCCTTATTTCTTAACTCCAAATTCCAATATTCTTTCCATTTTCCACAGATCTCCTATGACTTCTCTAGATACACTTTCTGTAGTATTTTGGAGTCTGCCTCAGTTGATGTGAATATAGAACCAGATCTGGTAGTAGACTAAGCAAGGTAGGCAACTTCCTAGGTTACAATGTGTGGCTGAGGGTGCAGTGGGGAAACCTAGGGAGGTTTAAATTGGACTTTTAAAAATGAATGTGCTTACAGTATAAAGCTGGTTTTTAGTCTTAACCTAGACTCAATAAGCAAAATAACCGTACTTAATAACAAGGAAAATGTGTAATAAAAACAATGCAACAACTCCCAAGAGCATGTGAACCCACTGCTCTTCTAAACCCTAAGTTATGGGTTTAAATCTGAACCTAAAACTTCTAGGACGTCTATAGCTTGATTTTATTTCATTCTCTGTGACTGTGAGTGGTAAAGTAGTCTGAATAAGTTTCCACAAGATATTTAACTCATACTTCCAAAGGGCTGACCATCAGTTACAAAGACAGAAACCCTGGAGTGAGCTGGCACCTTGGATTCACAGTAGAGGAATGTGCAACTGATGGGGAGTGACTTTCCCCATTTCCCCTGTTTCTTCCCCAGGTTCCAGCTCTGTTGTCATTGGTGAGGACTTTTGAATGCTTCTGGCCTTGGCATCACATAGCAGAGTGAGTAGATTTAGGAGCCAGCCCTGGCAACAGTCAGTGCTTCCATTTTACATTAGTATCCTGTCTGACTTTGTCCTTCTGCATTGCATCTGTTATTTCACTAGAACCCAAACCCTATGCCTCTGAGCAGCAGAGGAGGGGCAGACGGAGTAAGAAGCATGTTGTATTTCTCAAAATTAATACCCTGAGGGGCAGCTATGTGGTGCAGTGGATAGAGCTCCAGCCTTGGAGTCAGGAGGACCTGAGTTCAAATCCAACCTCAGACACTTGATACTTACTAGCTGTATGACCCTGGGCAAGTCACTTAACCCTGTTTCCCTCGCCAAAAATAAATAAATAAATAAATAAATAAATAAATAAATAAACAATGCCCTGAACTAAGCAGATGACTTCAGATGTGGCCTGGCCAAGCTGAGTATAGTAAGACTATCAGGTCTTTGCACCTGAATGCTCTTAATGCCTCTTAATTGTACTCCCAGATCATAATATTGTCATAATAATAATAGCTAGCTTTCGTACTTTAAGGTTTGCAAAGAACTTCACAAATATTATGCCATTACATCCTCCCAACAATCCTGGGAGGTAGATGCTATTATTATCTCTATTTTTCATGAGGAAACAAAGGTACAGAGTGCAAATGACTTGCCCAGAATCACACTACTAGTAAGTTTCTGAGGCTGGATTTGAACTCAGGCATTCCTAACTTCACTAATCACTCTAATCACTGTGCCACAATAAGCCTTGCCCCAGTACGTACTGTTATCTCTGCCCTACAGAGAGAGGTCCACTCTGAGAACTATAGAAAGTTTGGAATTTCCTTGGCCCTTCTACCTAGTTGAATGAGTGCATATAGCCTCCTTGGCATGGAACTGTCAAGGTCCATGTCTTCCCTGCCAAACAGCAATATCAGAGTCCCCCCAAACGCCTGTCCGAGGCTGTCCTCTCTCTCCACAATCTCTCTCTCGGGATTATCAGCTCTCATGGTCCAGTTATCTCCTCTATGTAGATGGCTCTCAGATACTATTACTCGCCCTGCCAGAAGCTAAGTATCACCTGGCTTATCCATCTGCCATGAACTGAATGCGAACAAGAGCCCTCCCCTCTGCGTTGTCTCCCCAAATTAGAACTTGTGCTCTTTGAGAACAGAGACTGTCTCAAATTTCTATTTGTATCACCAACACTTAGCATCATAAAGGCTTTTCCATCCCATTCCATTAAACTGTTGCCTCATTTTGGGATTGCAGCCTATTAAAAGTCTTAAGCTTTTTCAGATAAACTACTTTCTAGATATAATTTTTCTATCATATCCTTGTAAAGTTGTTTTTTTTAAAGAAAACTCATTAAGATTTAACCTTTATCCTTTGAAAGTTCCATCATGTTATATATGCCCTAGTATTCTAGCCTGTTAAAATCTTTCTAGATACAGACTAGGTGGTGCAATGGATAGAGAGCTGGACCCAGAGTCAGCTAGGTTCAGGTCCGGCCTCAGGTACTTCCTAGCTTCATGATCCTGGGCAAGTAATGTAACCTCTGTCTATTTCAGTTTCCTCAACTATAAAATGAAGATAATAATAATAACACCAACTTCATAATGTTGATGTGAGGATCAAATGAGGTAATATTTGTAAAGCACTTAGAACAGCGTCTGGTACATAGAAGGCACTGAAGAAATGGTTATTCCCTCCCTTTCCTCATTCCCTTCCCTTTCCTCTCCTAAAATGTTAGATACTTCTCCTCCAGACTCTTCAAAGCTTGCAAGGACTAGGAGCTCATAATTTGAGATAACTCAATGCTTTTATATAGGACCCAGAAGGCATGACAACAACAAGAAGAAGGCATGACAACATCTTACTTCCAATTGGAAGACTTCAGGTCTTGCATCATTTCACTTCATCCAATGGCTTTCAAAGATTTGTCACACTTGGTCTAAAGTTTTTGACTGAGATTCATTGATTAAGCATATTATCACTTACATTACTGTGGGGCAGGGTAACTTGATTGATTCAGTCGATCACCCCAAACCTTGATATATTTGTATGTATCATATACTACAACCATGAGATGCAGCATAGCATGGTGGCCACAATCGTGGAGTCAAGAAGACATGAGTTTGAGTGCTACCTCTGACACCAACAGGTTGTATGTATAACCATAGACATGTCATGTCTTCACACCCTGGAAAGCTCTCTAAGGCTATGAGTTACAAAAGATGGGAAGTAAAGAAGCTTGGAAATTTACAGAAGACAACCCAAGAGAAAAAAGGTCCTACGTATATACATATGTATGTGTGTGTATACATACATACATACACATATACACACATATGTATCTATGTATCCATCTATCCATGTTATGTGTGTATATGTATAATATATATAAAATAATACGTGATGTCATACACATATATGTGTATATATATATAAATATATATGTATATATATGTGGGGAGGTAGAAGAGAAGAAGACAATTTTTTTCTGTCCTCTTTCTTTTTCAGCTAAAAACCTTTCAACTGTACCTACAAGGCTG